AAATTTTATAATAACATGTAATTTTGGTGTAAAAAATTCTTAGGGCTATCTGAATTTATATCTGATTATAAAATTTAAACTCCAAAAATGGTTAAATCAAGTAGATCTATAAACATATGAAAACCTTGAAAATAGACAGTCTAGATAATATGTTGCAAGGTGCACTATTTCTGGGATTCAAAATCTTTTTTGTTTTTTTTTCATATTTATATATCTCGATGTCGAGATGATCAATTAGAGGGTTTTTCAACATTAAAAACCTTTTCAGATTGATTTTTGAGGTGCATTTTTAATTCTACATTTTAAGGTTGCAACCTGATATAAACTTTTTCCTTTTTTTATTGTTTTAACTTAAGTGGGGGTAGTTTTTGATAATTTTTATTATAATGTAATGAAAGGGCCTGGGGTGTTCAGGTTTCTAACACTTTTAGGGCATGATCAGTAAAACCAAGGTGTGAACAGTACCAGCAAGCACTATCTAGGGCTTTAGGGTTACGTTTTTGTGCAAATAATGTGTTCATTTTAATGGTTAGTGAATTGTTTTAGCCTCTTTTCTCATTTTTCCTGCATCAAAATGTATAAAAGGTTTCTATACTTCCCCTGAAACATAGAAGATATATACTTTCCCCACCCTGCCCCATCTAGCCCTCTAATTTGGATCAAGTGCACCACTCACCATTTGATCTAGCTCTCACCATTTGATCTAGCTCCAATGCCCCGTAGAATTTTATTTTTAGTTTTTTTTCTACAGATTGTATGAATATGAAATTTCGTACGTGCCATCTTCTCAATGGGACGCACCTAAAATAATATTAAAAAGAATTTTTCAATAAAATATAATGACCAAAATACCCCTTGAAACTTTCAAGAGTATTTTGGTTATTTTATTTTATTGGGAATATTTTTTTTAAAATTTTTTTCAAGCACGAGTTTAAGAGAGGAGTGGACGCCCCAAATTTGGTGTCAAAATATTTTGGAGAAAACAATAAAAAATAAAATAGTGCAGCGCATAGAAAGCTTGCCCAAATGTATAAAACAGACCATTTACTTTTAGTACAAGGAGGTCACAATCACCTTGTCCATCAGATTTTAAAATGAGTGATTGCTGGTGAGCCATTGACAAAACTCAAAGTTCAAGAAAAAATTCTCAAACATTGTGACACACCGCAAGCCATTCAATTTGATATCTAATGATCAGGAGTGATTGTGACCTCTTTGTAACAATGGTAAATAGTGTCATAGTATATGATCATACACACACACACACAGATATATATATATATATATATTTATGGGTGCGGTTTGTATAGAGCCTAGGCTCTAAACAATCAAATCAGAGCTTACCTTCAAATAGTGTCGAGAAATGTGGTTTCAATATTGAAAATCTTTGTGATAGCCTTAAAATATAATTTTATTCTTATTTATGAAGTTTAAAGCTTAAAAAATAGTGTAGATCGATAGATCTATAAAAACTTGAAAATCTTGAATATTGACGGTCCAAAAATGCATTATAAAATGCACTATTTTCAAAACTTGAAATCTATTTTTTTCTCATGTCTATGCATCTTAATGCCGTGATAATCAATTTGAGGATATTTGGGCATCAAAA